TTTAAGGCTCTAATCAGTTAAACACAATTCTGTATACAGCCTGAGAACATCTTTCTATTCCACTAATTTTTTTGGGGGGAAAGGGGGGATTAATTCATATTAACAGTAATATTATGGAACCATCATAGTCCTGGCTTCAAAGATAAGGTTGAAAACCACATATTTTTAAACAGTCACTAAGCATTAACAAATTATTTTCTAAGTCTCTTTTATTAAGTTTTAATTATTGCAAGCCTTATTTGTGTTTATTTACTGTCTTTAAGTCCCTTTTAAAAATCTACCAACACCTTATGGAAAACGCAATAACATTCTGCTTAGAAAGAATTCCTCGTGTGTCAGATTTTCTGTGACTTCTTTATCTGTTCCTTTCTACTAAGAGTTCTGAAGATTAATCTTTTTTGTTTCTCAAGACTCCACCTGTTCATGCAGCTTGTTTGCTACCCAAGATTATAATCTTTTAGAGTAACATCAAATCCATCTCCACTGCAGTTAGTTGGTGTGTCATAGAGTTTCATGACATCAGGTGGGAGTTAAGAGGAGCAGAACAACTGTGGGAACAAGACTTCAGTTTTTATGCACTGTATTTAGTGAAAACACCAGAAGCACATGAAATCGTCATTTTTCAGTATTTTGTAGTTTTCCCAAGAGGTGTCAGCAAGTCTTCAAGAAAAACAAAACAAAAAAATAAAACCAAGGAAGAGTATTGGAAAAGTTCTACCCTGATATATCAATTCTCCTATGTTTAATAAAGATCGAAATCAGATTCAGATTCTGAATGCAGTAAATTTCTGCTCTGAAAGCTAATAATGTAGCGAGGTCCATGATTTATTGCAAATCTCCTTGAAACTTCTGCTTTATTTCCCTAATGAGAATTTTAAAAACTTGGAAACTACACATTGGCATTTAAAAAAAGGAGGAAAGCATGAGTTATCCCAATAAATCAGCATGTTAAGTTTACAATGGGAAAACAATAGAAAATTGAGCTTCAAGCTGCCAATTTTTACATAAGTGAGACTCCTGGCTCTATAAAACATCAGTTGCATAGCGAGATTATATTATATCACTCAATCTTATAAACAAGCCTTGTGTAATTTTATTCTGACCTCTGCAGCAGAAGCAGGTAGTTTGACATTCCAAATCATAATCTAGGATGGCCTGAATGCTTAGCTATGAACTCTGCTGCTTCACTACAGTTGTCAGAACCCACCACAAGGTGACGCAGGAAAAAAAATAGCTCGTATCCAAGTCACCCTTGTTCTCATTACAAGATGGCCTAGACACACTTGAAACCGACATACCTGAGGGGACAAATTTATATAACAAGTATTAAAAAATAGCAAAATATCACAGAGCAATAAAATTGATGTGTGAATTTATAATTTATATACTCTACCATGTACAATATTGTAACAAATGAACCTTGATTATGGTAAATCTGTATCACATTAATACAAGCAGCTAATCACTAAATAAAATACACAAAAAACATTCAAAGTTGCTTGGGGGGAAAGAGGAGATATCACAACTTTAAAGAATTTACTGGGGAAAAAATGGAAAGTCTGCGTTGCTGACACACAACTAAGATACTGTTGTGAAGTGTAACACCATCTGGTTGACATGGCTCTGCTATCTGTACACAATGGTTTTATTACAATGGTAGAACTGGTATTAGTGTAATGGCAGGTTGAAGGATCTCATTCAGGTGTGGAATCTGTAAATCTGTGTCTGAAATACCAACTGAAGTTGGCAGTTCTCCACCGCCATCTGTGTTTTAAGGAGCGGGAGAACATAAAGAGAGAGTCCTACGACAGAACAGTCAATGCAGGTTTTTAATTAGAAATAAACAACAAGTGGAACTAGTTTCTATGAGATGAGAGATAGGGAATTTAGTGATACATCCCATCACAGTGAAACTGAGCCAGCCATTAACAAAGCTGGGCTGGCTCAGAACCAGGTGTAGATCCTTTCCACGTGAATGAGTCTGTGATATTTCGCTGACAGCTCTTCATCTACTCTCCAGAAGCTTTGTTAAAGCAGAAATGAATTGTAAGTTAAATACGTGTGTCCTTTGAGTATATACTCCTATTGTTCTTTTCGTTCTATAGCCCAGAAATTGAACTGAACTTCAGGAAATGTTTTCTTGACAACAAAGCTGAAGATATTCCTAACAATTTATTACTTGCTGTCAAAAATTTAAAACTTTTTTAAACTGATGTACTATACCTGTCACTCATATTTCATTAAAATAATTAACGGAGGGAATGCTGCTGTTTGTTGGGAATCATGCTAAAAATCTTTTTAATTAAAATCAAAGGACAAAAGTAATTCTACAAAATAGAAATACCAAACTGAATGCTTTAAACACACACAGACACAGCTATACCAAGTATTTCTTCCCCCTACCTTCTCCCTGAGTAGCGAAGAAGCTATTAGATTTTAGTTAGCCACACACTAGCTGGAAATCATTGGATCGGGAATCCATTTGCTCTGGTATTTAATAACAAATGCACAAAGTATTTAAGATCATTTAGTTCACAGTTATAATTCTGAAAAGTATATGTGAAGCAGGGTGGCGGGAGCCTCATCACCTAAAATGTTTTCGGACTACCAGAAAAACGGTCACAAAAATCTGAAATCCTAAAGTGAGAGATTAACTGCTAAATTTCACAGGAATGCATACAGCAGGCATGCATGGCCTTAAGAGAGAGAACGCAGCCTCAGGTTGAACATTAAATCCATTAGAGAATTAAAACAGTATAATTAGAAAAACCTACTGATGAAGGATAATGCTCACTGGATAGGTTCCTGACCAGGTCACATACTTGTGAATAAATCTTTTAAATGTATGCTTTGTGTATAAAGCCCATTATAAGGGGACGTTTTTAAATTATATACAGGACCCTGAATTCCTTTCTAAAAACCTGTATTTAACAAAAACAAATATATACAAATAATTTGAATAATAAGAAAGGAAGTCCCTGTAACAATAGATAATGATAAAGAGTAGGTGAAGGGATACTTGGAATGTTTTAACATACAACATTTCCGCACCTGCCATACAAGTCCACAGTCTGATAATTGCAGTTTAGTTATTAAGGGAATTACCTATTGCTGACAATTATTTCTTAAGATCATAGACAATTATGAGGTATCTGTTTCAAAGAAAGAATAATCCTGACAATTATGGATCCCCCATGTTTTTAAAAGGGTGCCTAAAGTTAGATTCCAAACTTCAAATTTAGGTACCTAAATAAGCAGCCTGTTTTCAAAAGTACTGGGCACTCAACTGCTCTCAAAAAGTCATTTGAGTTATGTGTGACCAGCACACTATCTAGTAGTAGATTAAAGTTGAAGTAGAAGCCTAGACAAATTCAAACTAGAAATAAAGATCATTTGAACCACTGAAACAGTTTACCAAGGAACATCCATCATCTGAAGTTTTTAAATCAAGACTGGATGTCTTTCTAAAATATATACTCTACTTCCACCACAAGTTATTGGGCTCAATGCAGGAATTACTGGGCAAAATTATATGGCTTGTGTTATGCAGTAAGTAAGAATGATCACATGATCTTAATGGTTCCTTCTGACTGTAAAATATCTGAATCTATGGGGTTTTTTTAAGGTATCAGTATTCGGTCCAGTCTGGTTTAGCATCTTCATTAATGAACTGAGAGAGGGTATAAACAGCATGTTAATGAACTGCGATTACTAAATTGAGGCTAGCTGCAAACACCCCTCAGGACAGAAATGCAAAAATATAAGTGTGTATCTTGGGGGAAATACAATCTGAAAGACATATTTACTTATAAAGTAGTAATGCTTAAGGGGAACCCAACATGACAGTGGCCAGCAAATTACACAGATATTTGCGGTTCAATATGGCAGTAAAAGAAGGACAAAGTTGTTGTTTTTTAACGTGTACATTCATGGGCCTCACAGTATGAAGCAAGGAGATAATAGCTTTTTTATATAAGGCTTTAGTGCACCTAGAATATTGTGTTTATTTCTGAGTACCACAGGTCAGAAAAATATTCAGAAACTAATCAGAGTTCAGAGAAGAGTAATGAAAGAGATCAGAGGCTGGAAAAATTGATTTATGAAAGCAAAGTTAAATATGTGTATCTTGGCTACAAATTGACCAAGGAGGATATGGACTATGAAAACACTCTATAAATATTACAAAGATGTAAACAAGTACCGAGATTAATTATTTAGGTCAAATTATTTATGGAAGCATATCTAGGAAAACTGAATGAAATTATGAATGGGGAAAAATTAGGCTCATCATTACACAAAACCCTTTGACAGTCAAATCTGTTAGACTGGACGAATCTTCAAAGCGAAGGGGTGGACTACCAATGCTTCAGACATTTAAAACCATACTGGACAATGTACAAGTAAATGTACTGTAGGTCAAATCTGCAGTTGCAGTGAAATGGATCAGATTATTTAATAGGTATTTTCCATCTCTAACATCTATGATTCTATCTGAGAAATAAACACTAGATATTATTCTACTGAGAACTTTTAGGGAACAGGCACATGTAACTAAGCAATTCTGTTTAACTTGTAGTAGATAAAAGTAAAATAAGAAGTGATTAGAATAATATGGCCTAAACAATCAATAAACACATTAACTAGAAATGTTAATATAAAATAAAGAAAAGAAAAACTTAAAAAACACATCTAATATTTGATGCGACTTTTCCAAAGGAAGGATGAATCAGTCTGGTTTAAATCAAAGTGAAATGTGGAAATAGTTCCAAGCCGTTCATGGACCAATGTGATATGTTTAGTCTCAGTCTAAACAGAAGTAACGTCATGAACTGGCATAGCAATTGCCTTCAAGATGAATTAATTCTACATTCTAACCAAAATACCAAGCTCCTGACAGGTAAACATAAAGCTGCAGAGTTTGGTACTGCCAGAGAGATGGATTTGGGATAGTATTGAAAAAGTACATTGGTATATTGATGACTGGCCTGTTCTTTTCTTACCATCGCACTTTATTGCATGTCTGTGTAGCACCAAGGGGAGAACCCGCCACCATGGGGACTTGGATAGGGCTATGCTGTTTGTTCATGACGAGGTCCAATTTCTCTTCCAATGATTTGCAGGTAGCCTCTAGTGCCAGCAGCTTTGCCTCAATACTATCCAGTCGCAGGCATATTGTCTGATTAATGGAAAACAGGAACGACTGAGCAGGAGAGAAGGTAAAAAGAGCCATTTTAGAAACTTACAAATTTATCTTCAGGAACTTACATATAGCAAGAGCCACCTAAATATGATTGGTTTCAGAGTAGCAGCCGAAGAAGTGGGCTGTAGTCCACGAAAGCTTATGCTCTAATAAATTTGTTAGTCTCTAAGGTGCCACAAGTACTCTTGTTCTTTTTGCTAAATATGATTGGCAAACAACTCAAGGGACATTATCAACCTTTCTAGTCACAAAATTTGACCATACTTAAAACTGATGAAATCCAGCAGCATTATTACCATTCACAGACTTCCTGTAATTCTTCATGTAGAAGCCAACAGCATCCAAACCGAACATCTTATTAATGTGATTTCACCTCCCACACCAAAGTTTAAGATGACAAACCAAAACATCTCACTTTCTCATGAATAAAAAAAAAAGATTATAAACATGCTTCAGCACGCTAATGGATAAGTCTGATAAGATCTCCCCAAAAAGATAAAGTTAGCTGCTTACAAATGTGTAGAATGATCCTATCAATCCATTAAAAGAAATAACATAACCTCAAAGGCAACAAGTGTCGCTGAATTTCATTCCATATCGAACAGCTAACGTGGGCATACGCAAAGAAAGAAATAAGATCTGTTTTCCTAAGCAAATATATCCATTTTTGAAAAGCATATTCTGCAAGATTTTCCTGGAGGAAATTATGCAATTAAACAGTGATAAATAGGGCTGTCAAGCGATTAAAAAAATTAATCACAATTAAATGCACGATTAAAAAAATTAATCATAATTAATCGCACTATTACACAATAATAGAATACCATTTATTTAAATATTTTTGGATGTTTTCCACATTTTCAAATATATTGATTTCAATTTCAACACAGAATACCAAGTGTACAGTGCTCCCTTTATATTTATTTTTTATTATAAATATTTGCACTGTAAAAAAAGAAAGTGTTTTTCAATTCACTTAACACAAGTACTGTAGTGCAATCTATTTATCATGAAAGTTGAACTTACAAATGTAGAATTATGTACAAAATAATAACTGCATTCAAAAATAAAACAATATCACACTTTAGAGCCTACAAGTCCACTCAGTCCGAGGTCTTGTTCAGCCAGTCGCTCAGACAAACAAGTTTATTTACATGTGCAGAAGATAATGCTGCCCACCTCTTGTTTACAATGTCACCTGAAAGTGAGAACAGGCATTTGCATGGCACTGTTGTAGCTAGCGTTGCAACGCACAGTTGCCAACTTTCACGCGGTAAATAAGCCCCCCGACATTCACAATAAGCCAAAAATCAAGTAAATCCCATTTCAAAACAAGACCTAAACAAGCGAATCCCTAAGAACCCCAACACTCTATGTGACTAGAGACCTCCCGGGCGTGCAGTCTGGGACTGTGGTGGGCCTGCTGTGCACCCCTGGCTCTCTCCCCCCTCTACCTCTACTTGCCGGGAACCGATCAAAAAAAAAAGCAACAAGCTACAACAAGCACAAGCTACAAGCCAAAAACTAACCAAACAGGCAACTCACAAGCTAATTAAGCCAAAAACAAGCCCAATTTCTGCGTTTTTTTCATGGGTTTGGCATGTCTGGTTGCAGTGCCAGATTCATATGTCCCTTCATGCTTCAACCACCATTCCAGAGGATATGCTGATATGCTGATGAGGGGTTCTGTTTTCGCCTTCCTCCGCAGCATGGGGCAGGG